TATATATATATATATATATATATGAAAGTTAGAAATGGGAGAGTGTGTCTGGACAGAAGGGGTGATTTCGTAGCCTCTTAGCAGAAAGGTTGTCAAGACATCAACTACGTTTATCTTTCTGATGATTTATAGCTTGGCGCTATAGCGCTGCCCGTGAATCTTCTGGGAATGTATAAAAGTCCGTTTTATCAATGCAAATGACCTCGGAAAGATCGAAGTGACAATTCAATCAAATTGATCAAACGAATTCGGGCCAATTTTTTTGCCAATTTTCTCAAAAATCAAATATTATATTTGTATTGGCGACCTATGCAGCATTGTTATTGCAGCATTTCTGGCAAACCATTTCATCTGCTTTCAAATTCCTCAGGGTACATGCATATAATTCGACTACCAAAAAAACGTTGAAAGTTGTGAAAATCAGGCCCACCTGAACGCCTGGGACTGGCCAGCCCCGTCAGTTGTTGTTGAACCCTTACGTCGGTTCGACTCGAAGAGGCCCGTTGGTTCTGTTTCAGACCTGACAAACTGAGTGTCATTGTCTGATTGCAGCTGGCACTCTCCAACCACACCGTATTAGGTCTAGGCTCCAGGACGTCTATCTGGCCGACGGCGTCCAGGCCAGAAGAGGAGTACTTTTGTCGGCAACCGGTGTCATCCTTCGTCACAAGACCCTCTGCCAGCAGGTCCAAGTGAGCCACACCCACTCTGGCGCCGAGACGACGGCCCGTGGTCACATAGTTACCGGATGGCAGCACACAGTTGCTCCAGACCCGAGTCACCTCGCCTTTGGGAGCAACGACTTGCTGGTTGACAAGACATTCGCCAAGAAGGCCAGACTGTGCAAAAGTATGAAATGGGGGGTAAATGTGAATATTGAGCCAAATGCTATTTTATGAGTTGCATAAGGGTGTACCATGGAGAGACGAGATGCACCAAATAAAAGGGAAGAAAAGTAGATGTTGATTGTCGATTGAAGATTGAACATATATTTCGACAGAAAACGAGGAAAAATGATTCCGCTTGTCTGGAGTGGTTTGATATCAAAAGGCAACTACTCTAATTCTGCTTGCAAAGGCCTCCTAAATAAATACATATACATATAACTCTACTCATGAGTAAGCATACTTATGGATAAAAAATAAAATGTATACTACCATAGTTTAAATGAATATATGGTGGAAAGATTGACTTCACTTGTCTCTTTGACGGGTTCGTGTCTTGATGCCGAGAATGACAGCACTACTCACTGATGATGCCGACTGCGATGCCGGCGAAGCGTTTGAGAATGTACCAAGTTCACTGTCTGATGCTGGGAATCATGACAACTACATTGGCAGACGACTTTGGACTAGGTGCGTTCTACCAAGTCGCCCTGGCAACAAGACCAAGTTGCAACAACGAGGTCAACCGACTTCAATAAAATGTATAGATCAAAATAAACAGATCTAGACTGAGGTGTACTCACCCTATTTCGTTTAATGTGATAAGGGGTTGTTCACTTTTCCTACAATGCTATGAGTACTTCTTACGTTCCCATTGGATTTCACAT